TTTTTATAGGTCTCGAGTATGTGCGACGAAATCTGTGGGAGGAGTAGCGGGACAAAAAAAACACGGAAGAAGAAAAAGAAAAATAAACCTGGAATGTTCGAGGAATAATAATATAAGTGCCAATGCATTGCATGGGGCGAAGCCCCATGCAATGCATTGCCAGCTGGGGGCTCCGCCCCCAGCTGGCAAGGCACCCATAATAAAGGATTATTTTATTTTTCATCAAAGTTTAAATGAAGTGGATTTTGGGGATTTATAAATATGTTAAAAATCACAAAATAAACTGGTGTTTGTTTGTTTGTCATTTATCACTTTAGATTCTCTCAGGATGAATAAACCCCCTTTTTTTTTTTTTTTTAGCTCTGCTCTCTTTTACTTTTGCAACAGCCGCTCATCATTTCCGGTACCGCTGCGTATCAGTGTTTGACTTGACGCAGCTTTTTGACGTTGACAGCGGTTTGGTGGAAACGAGACGCGCAGGTTGCGGCCGCACGGTGCCGACACGGAGACACCCTAACCCCGCACAGCCACCACCCACCAGCCGCTACGGCCGGAGGAAGCCTCGGTGTGTTTCACTCCAGTTCAGCCCGATCGACGACGGTCAGGATGAAGATTTCTTTTCGTCCTGACTTGACTCCGTGAACGAGGCTGAACTTCCCCGATCCTGCTCCCTCGGTGCGGCGGTGCGGTGGATTCCCCCCGGATTTAACCGGGGCCACAGCGGCCGGTTTCGCCGAACACTAGACCACGGAACATCAGACAACAAGTGACCGTGGGGAGTAAGAGGGAGAGCCCGCAGATGAGCAGTGACACAGCCGAACGGTGGAGATGAGTTGATCGAGAAACCAGCCGTGATCAACTCGGTGGAAAGTTGTTGGAAAAACGGCGCAGTGAAGCGAACTAACGCTAAAAGTGATTTTTCTTGGAGCGGGACACGTTTAAGTCGAGGTCTAAACTTTCTCTCCTTGCAGAAATCGGACTAACAAATCATAGCATCATGTGCGAAGTGTCCATGGAGCAGCAGGAGGAGGAGCGGGAGATCTCGGACTTGGAGCCGCAGGATGGCTCCTCTGTGGCGAGGAACGGGGTGATACTGGTGGTCAACCAGAGCCGGGTCCGGCCTCCGTTCAGCGTGGTGCTGGCCACCCTCCTCTACTGCGCCGAGTTCATCACGGCCGCCGTGCTGTGCAGCATGTACCGCAAGACCCACGACGTGATCTGGATGAGCTTCACCATCGCCTTCATGCTGCTGCCCGCCGTGCTCATCCAGCTCACCCTCACCTTCATCCACCGGGACCTGGGTCGGGACCGGCCCCTGGTCCTCTTCCTGCACCTGCTGCTGCTCGGCCCGGTCATCAGGTGGGTGGGGGCCGGGTTGTTGCGACACAAAGACACGCTCGTGTTTTGCATGTTAAAGATCCAGTGTGTAAGATGTAGGTGAAAGGGATCTTTGTATTTACATACATGTTTACATCAGAGTGGGTCTTCTCTATGGAGGCCATGTGTTGTACAGTAGCCCACACTGGACAAACTAAACACCTTTTGAAACACCTTTAACTGAAGTCTACCTCTATGAGTCTACCACAGGGTTAGTTACCACTAGCTTTGAATAAATTCTACACACTGAACCTTTAAATGATCATTTACCACCAGAGACAGTCCCTCTGTGTCTCTGCTGGTCATTTCCCCAGATTGTTATGATCCACCTCAGTGTGTTTATATTTCACACAGCAGTTTTTACATTTGATTTGAACCAGTGAGAGAAAAGTTTACTTAAGAAATACCTGTAGTGTAGAAATACTCTGCTACAAGTCCTTCATTCTCAGTTTTACTGCAGTGAAAATACACATGCACGCACAATTGCAAGTGTTAGCTTCAACATGTACTTAGAACACCAACAACACAAGCACTCATTATGCAAAATAACGTACAGTATTTCACACTTACTTCTCGGAGGATGCTTCCTAAAATAAATTTAAATCAGGTTGAACATTCCTATTAATGTTTCCGTCACATTAATGTGGTGAAGCGGGTTTGATTTTCATCGCTCAGTTAAGTCTCATCTCAGCCTATATCAATACATTAGGATTTTTTGGGGGATAATATTTAATAATATGAATCTGCAAAGTGACTTCAGTTATTGAAGATGTTGAGAAATAAACATCTACTTCTGAATTGTAGTAGATTAGCTTCAAAGATATTTTAAAAAACATTCAGTCCAAGTATCTCCAAATTTGCTTAGGTATAGTCCTGACTGACTTGAATTTTCCCTATAAATATTTATTACTCCTTCACTGTATCTCACTGATGCATTGGTGCTCTTAATTTCCCTTCGGGGATGAATAAAGTAATCTATCTATCTATCTATCTATCTATCTATCTATCTATCTATCCATCCCACTTACCGGACCTGCACTTTCCACTTTCCATTCACAGCGCAGGAGTTGATTAATGCTCCACAGTGAGCTCTGAATCGTGATTATGATACTGCAGCATTTCATCACCATGTGTTTATAGTAGAGCTGCAACAATTAGATGATTAATTAATGAGCAAGCAACTATTTTGAAGTGTCGTCATCTGTCAGACAAAAATATCTAACGTCCTCCTCTCAAATGTCCGTGTCTGACGCTGCTCCAGGTTTCGCTTTGGCAGCAAACTAAACTGATAAATATCTTTGGATTTGGAGAATTTTTTTCATATGATATGTTTACTGATTTATTGCTGATTAGATCGTATCTCATCTAATCTCATCTCTTTGGCTCCTTAAAGCTGTGAGTGGCTTTGTAATTCTTCACCTCCTCTTTGGTTGAACGAATGTTCTTGCTCTGAATGAACACTGCAGATGAACTGAATCACACTCCAGATGGAAGTCTTGTCGACTGTGTTGATCACTGAACGTCACAACCTCCCACACATCACAAGCGTCGAAATGTGGATCGACTTCAGAGCAGGCAGCCTTCTCTGTAATATTCTTCTTTTAATTTGAAGTTTCCTCGATGATGTGGTCACGTCCTCTGGATCACAGCTGAGCCTCTCACACTCTAGACTCATAATCAGTACGTCAAATGACACTGCAGAACTGGCGTCCGTCCTAGTAACACATCCTTCACATTTATGGCTTGTGCACCACTCAGTTGTATGACCTCATCTGGGATAATGGCACCCGAAGGCCTTGGCTGCTGCAGGCCAGTCAGACCGGACTGGATCGGGGGAGTGGGGTCAAAAAGAGGTTGTTGATGTTGTCGGAAAGGCCTTCAGAAATAATACTGCCACACTGTGGAAACGCAAATGTGATGTTATCGGCAAATGTGTAGGGAATGAAGAAAAAAAAAACGCTTGTTGTTTGCATTGTTTCTCAGGAAACAAGGTTTGTTTGAATACTGCCTGCTTGCATCTTACGTGATCTCGGCTGAGAGACCTGTTTGGCGAACCATGACTCATGCAGGACAACATTGACAAGGACCTCTGAAATTCAAATCTACACCTGATGCCTTCTCTCTGAACTTCGATTTGTCAACATTACGCCCTGAGGTGCTGCTATGACTTCACAGAGCCAATAACAGAGCCAACTGAAGGGTGTGTTCTTTTATAGGGCCAACAAAAAAATTCAACCTTGTTTTCAGTTGCAGTTTAGTTTCTTTATGAAGAATGCTGTGCAGGACAAAGTTGCTAAAAGAAACATGAATAAACATTGTCAGTGCATCTTAAAATATACCAGTTGAAACAAGTTAACACCTGCTATCAGCCATAGAAATGGAGATGCAGATAAAAGTCCCTGAGAGCTAAGAAGCTCTTTGTGATTACTCTCAAAGGGCAGGAAGTTACCTCTCCTCAGTGCTGAGCTGCAGTTTTGATCTGAGTTTGTTGTCGTGTAACGTATCAAAACGTGTGAAACGTGTGTGCGCGCGCACAGTTCCTGCTTTATCAACACATTCAGAGTATTTACTCTCCTTCCAGATGCTCTATACATCTACAGTTCCTGCTATATCTGGACCAAGGTCATAGTATAACAGGTTGAGCCCTGGAACATTAGAAATTAACACATTAGAAACTCAGTAGAGGGCAGACACCCGCCAAACAGTTCCTCATAGATCCCAATTTTGAGTTGCACACACTCCTAGATCATTAAGATCAATGATTCAGAGATATACATCCAGTTTTTATTAAACTAAAGATGAAAAAAAGAAAATTAAGAGGGACAAGTTCAGAACTGAGTACGTGTCTGCACTGTGTGTGTAACTGAGGATGTAGCTGAAAACTTGTGAACAGCTGCCTCCAGTGGAAAATAGGTAAAACCTGTTCAAAAAGTGTTTGTCAAACAAGTAGGAAACTGAAACTCAACCCAACAAGACTAAATATCAGCCAACAAGTTTGCTTTAAAGATTTCAACCACATATTTGAGTCTAGTTTGCTGAAGGAGCCTGAAGAAACTAAAATATCAAGGATTCAGGTCCAGCTGAGAAATGTGAGGGTCTAAAACCAGAAGCAGCTGCGTGTGTCAGACGTGAACGCTGGTGTTTGATTCTGCACACGTCTCCTTTCACTTCAAGAACGTTTGCTTGTGCCAGGAGCTTAAATCAGCCATGACAATGATATGTTATCATGTGTTAGTAACTTCTCTGAGGCAGGAAGATTTTTTTTTGGATTAAACTTGCAGTACAACTGACATTAGCAAAATAATGGCGCTTGTAAATGATTGAACAGATGTACAGCAGAATAATACACTAAGAGCAACAATACAAGAAAACACACAACATGACAGAAAGAGAAAAAATAAGAGACAAAGACGACAAAGAAAGAGAGGAAATATGAATAAATAATTGGTTAATTATAAAAGACTAAAAAACACCAGCATATTGGTATGAATGTTTATAGGTCAGCCAGATCTGAAAGGACAGTCCTCCTTAATTTGACATGTTCAAGCTCGAGGCCTTTTGTCGAGTGTGTTGTCTCCTCAGCTCTGTTCAAGTCCGAGTTGAGGAACAAGAACTGCAGAAAGAGGTTCAATGTCACTCTGGACTTACATTGAAACTCAAAGAGGAGACTCCACGCTGCCCAGACTGTGTTTTCATTACAGTTCATTCTGCTCTGTTCTGTTTATTTCTCTTTCCTTCTTATTTTTCTGCTGCTCTGCTGTGAACAAGTCACCTATGGCTCCGTTGGAGCTTTTCCTGTGTGACTGAGTGATGGTGTAATCCCTAATCTTGTGATTTCACAGCCAGTCTAACCACATCTGCCATTTTCTGGAGATAACTGCACGTAAACATATTTGAATATGCTCAGAGCTTTGGAGTGGAGACAGCAGTAATAAAAGTAACTAACTTTATTTATATAGCACAGTTACAAGGTGCTTTACAAGTTAAAAAAATAGAAGGCAAACAATGGGAAACTATAAAAGCAAATTGAGGATCACACATTAGAGCAGAAATACAAAACCTCAGGTAAAGGAACAACAGTCAGCTATAAGATCTTAAAATCAGTTCTAAATTTTAAAAAGTAATAATGTGACTTGCAGGCAGCGCGAAAACTCAAAGGTGTGTGTGGAGGGGGTGTGTCACAGGGTGGACCTTGTCTTGACTTGATAGACTCAAGTACTGTATAAGATCATGTTTCCTCGAGCAGGAACAGAAACTACATAATTACTCTGCTCAGCTCGGACCAGTCTCGACATGCGGAGCATCTTGTTTTGTGTCTCTGTGTCTCCACAGTCTATCGAGGCCGTGTCAGTGAGTAGTCTAAAGAGGTTTAGTTCCAAATGACCGAAACAGGATGATCTTGCAGAAGAGCTGTTGAAAGTATTTCCTGAATGCTGCTCTCAACTCAGAGAATCTCAGTATTTCTGTCACAGTTCCTCTTTGTCCACATGTCTGTGACACCGTGCTGCAACAGCCACACACCCAAGGAACAGGCTACATGTTTAGTCGGCGAATGCAGAGCAGCAGCCGACGTGTTTCCTTTTTATAAATCCATAGGGTGCTGCCTTGGAAGCGAGCTTATTGATTCTGTTGAGCCAATGCATTCATCAGTCATGCGATTCTTTTTTACCCCTATGTGAAATTCAGTCTGCCTCTCAGAAATGCTTGAGGCCTTTACACTCGTATTTCAACCTCAGCTTGTTATGCAGCCACATATCCAGGGAAAGACGTTAGAATATCAGGGTTTTATAAACCTTGCACACTGAAACTGCTCTCATCCGTCTGATATCAGCCTGGGAGTGAGGATAGGTTTGTCTAGCGATAAGAGCCTGCTTTCGAAACAATGAGATTTGCAGTCTCTCCTGGTGAGGGAGCTTGGCACCGTGCTGTGTTTGTGCGCTGTGAGTCAAAAGAGCAGTGAGTAGCAGCTGAAGCAGCATTGTGGGTAAATGTCAGAGCGCTGGCTCCACAGGGTCAGGACAGCTCGCGGAGAAGAAGATTAATGTGGGATTTCGCGTCCAAAGTTGGAGATGGTGGAGAAAAAGGAAAAACATTCCAGCACGGTGATGTGAGATGTTGTGCAGCAGTGGGAAGCCTCAGAGGACTGGGAGTCTGTGTGTTGAATGCAGATGTGCAGCACTTTAGAGTTTAGCTTTGTTTTTAAAAGTATTACTCAGGGATTAGGATGCTGTCGTGTTGTTGGCAGGTGCAAAGCTACCATTGATCGGTGACACTCAGGATAGACTGGTCTAGCGTTCGCTCTGCGTTGTGTAATTTCTTTGTAAAATGATGAGTGAAACACATTCTCAGTTCCAAGGAATTTTATTCTTCTCTTTTGTGTTCGGAGCCAGCCTGGTTACCTGACTGGAACCACACCTCACACCTCTTCCAAAACCAGAAGTCTCTCTCACACAAAACCACAGATGTACAAAACAACACCCCTAACATCACTACAGCGCCACCCAGTGGAGGCACTCCGAGGTACATATACATATGGAGAGAGCAGGTGGAATAACACCAAATAAACTCTGTTACACTTGCTCTTCCAGTGTAGGTAGTTTCCTTGTTGCACCTTGGAAATGTGGTTCTGAAATTAGAAAAACTCAGCTGTGGGGGAAAACCCTGTTTCCCCTTCTTGTGACTGGAACCGATATAAACTTTGTCTGAGCGAGCACAGCGAGCGGTCACCTCATTTACCTTAGGAGAGCCACACCCAGTGATTTTCACCTCATGCACTCTGCAGGCCTGAGGCAACAATGTTTTCTTTCTTCTCACTGCCCTCTACTGGAGCCTCATTTCTCTGCTTGTGTTTGCTTTTCTGAGATTCACATAGAACTGTGTGTGTGTGTGTGTGTGTGTGTGTGTGTGTGTGTGTGTGTGTGTGTGTGTGTGTGTGTGTGTGTGTGTGTGGTAGTGTGTGTGTGTGTGTGTGTGTGTGTGTGTGTGTGAGATGGATTTCCTCTTTTCTAAGCTCAACATTGTGTTCATGATAAGTTAACTTATTTATAAATTTTAAGTTTTTAGACTGAAAACAAGCTGGATTCTCTCCATGATGTTACTCCTCTCTCTCGCCCTCAGGTGTTTCGAGGCCCTGCTGGTCTACTTCAAGGCGGGTAAGAGGGAGGAGCCCTACGTCACCATCTCCAGGAAGATCAGTCTGAAGAAGGGCCAGGGGATGCCCATGGAGTGGGAGATTGGCCAGTCGGAGCGCAACCTGGCCACTCACAGGAACGCCTTCAAACGCACCGCCGTCATCCAGGCCTTCCTGGGCTCCACGCCTCAGCTGACGCTCCAGCTGTACGCCACCATCCAGGAGAAATACATCCTCCCCACGAGATGTAAGGACGACCGAGGGGCTGAAGTCCATGCTACTGTTGCAATATTATGTTGGAAGTGCCTCTTAAACTGATTAAATCTTCTGTGAGGTTGAGAGCTCGGGTGAATCAGCACCTTTGAATGAGTCACTGCCAGTTTTACAGTGTTTGTGATGCAGTTAAGGTGAAACCTCATATCACCTCAATATATAGTTACCTGTAATTCTGTTATGGATCTCCGTCCACAGCTCCAGGGTCTGAAGTTGTTTTTGTTATCAGATCAAAAAGTTGAGAGCTGCATCATAGTAAACTCAGACACTATAGTGTTCAGTGTAAAATAGTCTGGAAGTATTTTGAAATGGTAAATGGACTCTATTTAAACAGCACTTTCCCTTTTATTACTACTCAAAAGCACTTTGCAGTGTAATCACCCCTTCACACAGTGGTACTATACGCTGCACTCTTTTTATACACTGGTCAGGGGGAATTTAGCGTTCAGTATCTTGTCCAAGGACTCTTCAGCATTTAACCACCGACCTTCTTCAGAGTGGACGACTCCCTTTACCTCCTGAGCCACAGCTTTTGCGAGCCACTCTCAAAATGGATGAAAGTGGACGTTTCTGATCTCCTGGATTTTCCATAGTGACTTTTCTCTTTGGAGGTTTGACATTTGATTGTCTTGAATTTAAATGTGAGCAGTTTATTTTTTAAATCATGAGGAGTATTCTACCTTTAGAATCCTTGAGAACATCCTGAGCAACCTGACTGTTTTTGGGTCACCTGCATTCACTCTGCAGCAGACGTTTCATACATAGACATTTTGAATGTGCAGTGTTGTCCTTCTGTTATTGTTTTTGGAGGCTAACAGCTGATGTCCGTCTCTGTTCACAGTGGCTCTGATGATCATCACCCTCATCTCCATCACGTACGGGGCCCTCGTCTGCAGCGTCCTGGCCATCCAGATCAGGTACGACGACTACAAGGTGCGGCTGCGTCCCTTGGCCTACCTGTGCATGATCGTGTGGAGAGGTTTGGAGATCGCCACCCGGGTCACCGTTTTGGTTCTCTTCAGCTCGGCACTCACCCACTGGGTGGTCCTCGTCGTCATGGCCAACCTGCTGTTTTTCTTCTTCCTGCCCTGGGGTGAGTTCTGGGCCAAGAAGGGCTCGCTGACTGAGAACGTGGAGAAGAACTTCTCTAAGCTGGGCACCACCGTGGTGCTGTGCATGTTCACGCTGCTCTACGCCTGCATCAACATCTTCTGCTGGTCGGCGGTGCAGCTCGACCTCTCCCATCGAGAGCTCATCGACAGGAAGCAGCGCTGGGACTGGCTGGCCATGTACTACTCCGGACGCTTTGTAGAGAACTTCCTCCTCATCACGCTCTGGTACTTCTTCAAGTCAGATTTCTTCGAGTACGTGTGCGCCCCCCTGCTGTGCGTCCAGCTGCTGATCTGCTACAGCCTGGCCGTGCTCTTCATGCTGCTCTTCTATCAGTTCTGCCACCCATGCAGACGCCTCTTCAAGTACAACATCCACGACTGCCTGCACTGCGTCTGCTGCCGTACAGGGAGCGGCAGGGAGACGGAGACGCTGCCGCCCTCGTACTCCACCGCTGCCACCATGGTGCTGGTACCAGAGGAGCCGCTGGAGCTGCTGGACTCCCAAAACTCTCACCCCCCTGAGCTAGGCGAGCGGGAGACTGCTATTGTTGAAGACACGATGGAAGCAGCCTGAGAGGGGATTTCTGCTGAAGAGCAGAACTCGACCTCTCTAATGTAGAAATGCATCCTGGGAATAGCAAGGCATGATGGGAGCGCTGCGAGGTGCATTCCTGAACAAGACCTCAAGTAGTTTCACACAAAAACCAGAATGAGTTTGTGTCTTTGTGTGAATGAGGTGTTGAAGAACAAACTTCTGCCTTTTTATTCTTTGAGTGCTAAAAACATATCTTCACCCTGTCACGCATGGTTCTCTGCGGGATTGAGGTTTAATGTATTTATTAAGAATGATTACATTCACTTTAGGGCACCATGAAGCCCCGGTTTACCAAAGAATGTAATGTGTTGATATAAGCAGCGATGCACAAAGGCCGCCTGGAGAGAGCAGCAGTGGGTCAGGTACAGGCCTGAGCCAGGTGTGTGGGGAAACGTGCCAAGTGTGAAGCAGGTCCTCGAAAAGACCAACTGGCACGGACACCAGTTCACGTCCTGTCTCCTCTCTTCGCACACGCCTGCATGTGCACTACAAACAGAAAGCTGGAAGGCAAGGGAAAGGTCACAAGAATCCCTTTCTTCCTCATGCCTGACAACTGCATAAACCTGCTGTGATGAATGCCTTGTGTTGTTCATTGTGCAGTCTTGTATTAAGGTTGGACAAAGGGCCAGGTCTGTGAAAATAAACTGTCCAAAGGGAATATGAAAGTTACTTTAGATGATGCCTTAAGAAGAGTGACACAGAATGAGCTTCTTCTTCACTGAAGCGATTTCACATTTTTGCTGTTTTTTATGTTTTGTCACATGTTCACTGGTGATTTACTCCCGTGTTACTTGAAACTAAAATAAAATGAAATGTCTAAACATCCATTCTTGTGTTTCCTTCTTGTGCGAATGCAACATGACTGCACTGATCCCTTTCCTGTAAGATGCACTATAATTGCGTTGGCGGGCAGAGAAGACGTTTCCGTGTGGTTGTGACACACACTTCCTCATTCCTGCGGTTCCAGGAAGAAGGAATGTGGCTCTTCAGCTCCTCGACGTTTGTGTTCGTCCCACCGTCACCTGTGCACGGGGGCGGAGTCACGAGGGTTTAAAATAAAAAACGCAGGTGGAAGATGCGGCGACAACACTCCTGGTAAACACAACGTGCTCATCATGGCAAACTGTATCATCAACCATGGACTCACCTCCTTCATACTGGTGAGTTCTCTGCGTTCCCACTGAAGGAGTTTCCATGTTTGAAGTCGTTAAGACGGAGCTGGAGCGAGAATTCTCCCTCAGTGCTTCTTTACGCACAGTTTTTACGCACAGTTGATCTTTACACACAGCTCGTAAAATGGCAAAGTGTCCAAATTATTCGTGAGCGTCCGTGACAAACCTTCCTGATGGAGGATTAGCATGCACTCTCCTGTGTGAGTCTGTGGTGATGTTGTGGTTGGTGTTTGCAGGTGGTCTGGATGGCCATCAACATCTTCCTCTTCCTCTGGTTCTACTTCTTCTATGATTTGGGGGAGCAGTTCTACTACACGCGGCATCTGTTAGGGGTGAGTCAGGAATGTGTCAGAAGGTGTTCATTGTGACCTCAGAAGTTTTACTGAAGTAAAAGTACCAATTCAATCAAGTAATAATACTCTATTACAACTCCTGCTTTCTAAAGATACAGAAGTATCAGCAAAATGCCCATAAAGTAATAAAACCTACAATTTTAAAATTATGATATATGACATTCAATTG